GAGCAGTACTGATGCAGGATCACGGACGCGGTTTGCAGCCCATCACCTACCTCAGTAAGAAGCTAAACGGAGCAGAACTGAACTACCCCATCCATGACAAGGAAGCCTTAGCGATAGTCATAGCCTTCAAGGCGTGGAGGTGTTACCTAGAGGGAGCCAAGACTACAGTCTATACTGACCACTGCAGTCTCAAATACCTGAAGTCGCAGCCAACGCTCTCACGACGACAGGTGCGGTGGGTGGACTTCCTGGAAACTCACTTCCACTCCGACATCGTCTACAAGCCCGGGCTACACAACAAGGCAGACGCGTTGAGCCGCCCCGGACATGTAGCAGGCATCCAGCTCGACGGGATGAACCCTCTGCTCAAGGGTCTATTCCAACATGGGTACTCCGTGGATGCAGAGATCGCTACAGCACAGACAAAGAAGCTATTACAGTGGGAGAAAGACTTAGCTGTAAGGAAGGGTTCAGGAAAGATTTGGGTACCGAATTACGCCCCGCTACGGCAGATCCTATTGGAGGAGTTTCACGACATACCATACGCGGGAAATTTCGGGAGCAACAAAACGTTAGGAGGGATAGCGAAGTATTACTACTGGCCCGGGATGGCAGCAGACGTGCAGCAGTTCGTCACCTCTTGCGACACGTGCCAGCGGATGAAGAGTAGCAAGCAGAAAAAAGCAGGGTTACTTCAGCCTCGACCCGTACCGGAGCAGCCATGGCAGGTCGTTAGCCTCGACTTCATCACCGGACTTCCTTCGACCTCACGGGGGCACGATTCCATCCTCGTAGTCATCGATAAGTTCTCCAAAATGGGTCACTTCATACCGACCAACGCCACAGGTACAGCTGAAGCAACTGCTCGCCTCTTCTTCGACCGCATCATCACCATCCACGGCATCCCCGCTACACTCATCTCAGTCAGAGACCCAAAATTCACCAGTAAGTTCTGGAAGGAGCTCATGGGACTGTTGGGGACAAAGCTTGCAATGTCTTCAGCATACCACCCCCGGACTGACGGACAGACAGAGCGACTCAATCAAGTGGTTGAACAGTTACTGCGCACAGCTTGCAAGGACGACGTCAGCCACTGGGACACACAGTTACCGACCCTAGAGTTCGCTTACAACAACGCCTCACATGCGGCCACAGGGAAAACTCCTTTCTTCCTGTGTTACGGACGGGAACCACTCACACCACAACAGCCTACCACTCCGGCACACGTCCAAGCCGCACATGACTTCGTCACCACCATGCAGCAGCTATCGGAGAAAACTCAGCGACGACTCACCACGATGCAGACCTCCCAGAAGCAGAATGCCGATCGTCAGCGACGTGATCACTCAGTAGCAGTCGGAGATGAGGTGCTTCTTGACACACGCAACTTGAACCTGTCTCACCTCCCATCCAAACTCCGGCCTCGCTTCTGTGGTCCTTTTCTCGTTGAGGCACAGGTGACACCAGTTACATTCCGCTTGCGCTTACTAGATACTTGGAAGCTTCACAACGCTTTCCATGTGCAGCTACTGAAACCCTATAAGGACCCCAACCAACAGTTCAAGGGACGGTAGCTACTGCCACCTCCACCTGTTCTTGTGCAGGATGAACCCGAGTACGAGATCGAGCGCGTTCTCTCTCATCGGCGCCGCGGCGGCAAGACCCTCGAGTTCCTGATACGCTGGAAGGGATACGACCCCACTAAGGACAGTTGGGTTGCAGAAGCTGATATGGGCAACGCACGCCACCCAGCTTTGAGGGGGGGACGTGTGAGAGTACGACGGCTTATGCCAGCTATGCTTGTTTGCCTTTACTTTATCATGCTATTTCTAGCATAGGATAATCATATGCATGCATGAATTGCTTGATTTCCTAGGCTAGGTGCTTTCCTATATTTTATTATAGTTATAGCACCGAGCTAGGTTGCGTGCCCCGAATTCTGGCCTTTTCGGTTGCCACCGAATTGCCTTCTACCGAATTCGGTAAGGATCCGTTCGGGACGCTACGCGGCCCGCGGAACCTTCGCGTAACACCTGGTTACGGGGCCTTGTGTCGAGCCTATATATAGCCTCGTGTTGTACCCAGGTGATCATTGAATTCGACTCAATTCTCATTCTCTTTTCTGAGCTCGATCTTAGATCCTCACACTTGCCCACACCTGTGACATCTCCTCCTGTAAGCTCCAGGGCTTTCGTCCCGCGCCCTCGTCTCCCCTTGCGGGCTGGCCATCCATACTCCCCGGCGACGCTCCGTTCCGCTGGTCTCGGCCTTTTCCAATTCGTACAGCTTCAGTCCGGTCTCGTATCGGCAGGCCAGGTCGTATACTTGGTGTAGGGTGGTCTTCCATCCCATCTCCAACACCTTCCCCCGCAGATCCTTGACCATGTTCTTGTCCAATCCGTTGAGAAACTTGCTGATCAAGCGTCGCTCGTCTGTGCACTCCATGTCCAGCGCCAGTTCCCGCAGACGTCCGAAGTAGCTCAATAGAGACTCTTCGCTTCTGCGCTCGAAGTGCGCGAACTGCTGCACTCTCTCCGGCGTTTGCACGGGAAACGGTTGTTTCAGGTTTTCTAAAAATTCATCGACGATGCCCCATGGCGGCCCTTCCTAGCATCTGTACTTCTCAATCAGCTCCTCCCGCGTGATGCGATAGTACGTCTTTGCTTCGCCAGCCAACGTGTTTGACAGCCCACGGAAGAATTCCTCAGCTTCGAGCCCGTCTCGTTTCCAACGATACCAAACGTTGTCGATCTGCATCAGATAATTCCGCAAATCTTCCCCTAATCTTGCCTGCCCGACGAATCTCTCTAGAACTTTGATTTCTGGCAGGTTTATGTACTTCCACTTCTCGCCTCGCTGACTTGCCACTGCTTCTCTCTCCGCCCCGATTCCTTCCTCCAACTCCGCGACAGTCCATCGCTGCCGTTCCACGGAGCCGGCGCGCTGGAGAGGTCCGCTTCCTGGCTCCCCGCTGCGTCGCGGTGAATCTTCTTTTCCGGTTGCTAGCAGATCTCCTTGGCTCCACCGCCGTGGAGGGATGCGATAGACTTCTCCTTCCTCCATGTTCGTTCCAACCGACGCCCTCCCGGACCCCACTGCGCTGCGGCTTGTCTGGTCTGCGCCTTCGTGCATCTCTTCCGACGTCTCGTTACCTCCAGAGTTCTTTGGCTGGTACGTTCGCCTGGATCTCAGCGGCATGTAGCCGCACGCACCTTCTTTGTATGTCAAAAAAGTCACTTAACCCATCAACAGTTTCCTCTGACTGGCTAGCAAATGCTGGGAAGATTTAGCACACACCACTCCAGTATAGCGAGAAAACATACAAAGAAGCAGGTTAGGAATTGGAGCTAGCTGCCTATGTACAAGATTGCCTCTAGCTAGCGCAACCTACACATGCCACCACGCTCGGCCGTGACCCTGCTTCTGCACACATCCAAACGGAAACAGCCATCATCTGACATGCAAGCAATCCTAACCGTAAAACACAGCCCACTGTATGTACAAGGATAAATCTCCACCGCACCCGTCCCCCTATCAATACTCCCCTTGTGCACGGTCTGAAACCCTCATCACTCACGCCCATCACTGTACACGCGCTTTGTCTGCATGTGCTATTGCAATCTGACCCTCCTCCCCCTCGGCACTTTGCCAGCTGGACTCCCAACCCTTCACTCGTCCGCGTTGCACCCTCGGTCCCGTTACTGAGCACAGTCCCTTTTCAGCTCAATTCCATTGTTGCGTAAGATAGTAATTTCTCTTGCGATCTTATGCGACAGTGGTCATCAACCAAAAGCAGAAAATATTGATGACCCTGACGAGAAGCAATAGGTGAAGGACCCCAGAGGTCCATATGAACAAGGTCAAGGGGTTGGGGAGAGGTAGAGGGAGAAGAGGGATGAGGTGACTGGGAGAGTTTGGCCTGGACACATGGGGTGCATGGAGGAGCAGGAGAGGGAGGAAGGGGGGGGAGAGAAGAAGGGAGGCCATGAAGAAGCTTAGAAGAGACCATACTGCCAAGAAGAGGAAAGTTTGAGTGGCCAAGTCGATGGTGAAGGAGAATGGTAGGTTGAGTAAGAGAGCGACGGTCGCAGGAGGGAACGGGAGGGGCGGAAGCGGCAGAGGCATGATGGGCAAAGGGGGAAGAGAGACACGAAGAGTGTAGAGGCGAGTGATAGGAGAAAGAGTAAAGCGTGCAAGATGGCGGTTGCGGTGATAGAGATCACAGTAGGAGTCACATTAAGGAAAGATAGCTCGCACACAAAGACGTTGGAGAGCAGAGAGAGAAAGAAGGTTGTGGCGCCAGGAAGGAACATAGAGGCCAGTCACAGCGCCAGAGGGGGAGGTAGGACAGGGAACAAAAGAGGTAGCGGTGCAAGTCATGGTCATGGTATCCCCAGCCCTTTGAATGGAGAGGGTGTCAGAATCCCAACCACTAGACCATTGGGATAAAAGGGCTTGTTTCAGTAGCGGGTCAGTGTGCCCATAACCCCCCAGGCAAACGCGCCTGTAACCCCCCCTAGGATCGATCGGGGATCTCACAGTGTAGCTCTACTGACAGAGGGGACGGGGAAAAGAGCGAAGCACACTAGCATCACGAAAGACAGAGTCAGTAGCACGACTGTCAAGAACAAACTCAAGAGTGCGAGGGAGGGAAAGAGCAGCAATTGTGGGACCAAGATACTAAGAAACATTGCCATTAACAGAAGGAGCGAACATCATGGCAAAACAAGGGTCCATAAAGGGAGAAGCCCCCAGAATGCTATCCTGACTAGGCATAGTCACACTGAGAGCAGAGGTTTGAGCACTTGCACCAGAGTCAACGGCCGCAAGGACCGCCAGGGCAGAGGACTGGCAACAGTGACGATTGAGTTGGAGCCAGTTGGGAGGGCAACCAGTGTTGCCAGCTAGGAGCCAGTCATCGGTGAGTTTCTGGAAGCAAGAGGAGGTGGGATGATTGGTGCGACCGCAGGGCTGACCCTTGCGGGCCCCTGGCGAATGATTTAGGTGCAAGGAGGAAAGGTGTTGCGAGGGCGAGAGGAAGCAGCGGCGGCAGTGGTGGTGGAGAGAGGAGGGGGGGCAGAAGAGGGTGTGACAGCAGCGACAGTAGGAGGGCAGCTGCGGAGGTTGAGCTCTGCCTGGAGGAGGAAGGCAGAGACACGGGAGAACGACCACTGGTCGGCGGGTCGCTCACCATACAAGGTGACATGAACACTGTACTCAGGAGTGAGGCCTGTGAGGAGGAGGGCACCGCAGACATGATCGAACAGCTCAAACTGTTGAGCGGCAAGTTGGGAGGACAGCGTCTGCACACGAGCGATGTAGTCTCCCATGGTGGTGAAGTCAGCAAGACGAAGAGAGATGAGCTCACGTAAGAGGGCAATGATGCTGATGAGAGTCTGTGATTGAAAGCGCTGAGTGAGATAGCCGAGAAGGTCCTTGGCATAGCGGATGTGCGAGCAGCAAGGGAGAAGAGTTGGAGGGAGGCAGGCAAGGATGACTTGACAGGCACGTGCGTTGGCAACATGCCAGTCAGCGAGAAGGTCAGTGTGAGATGGAGCAGAGGAAAGGGGCGTAGAGGCAGAGCAAGAAGGGGCAGCGAGGTGCTCAGTGAGGTGCTTGCGGGTGCTCTCGAGGGACTCAGCAAGAATACAAGCTAAGTCACGGGCAGCAGCATTGTCAGGAGCAGGCGTGGCGGTGACTTGCGCCGTGGCCACAAGCCGCTCAGTTTCAGCAATGGCAGCACGAAGGCCATCAGCATAGAGGTCAGAGGAGTAAGAGGTGGGTGCAGAGGAAGAGGCAGGAATGGCGCCAGAACCACTTTGCTGAGTCACAAACCAGAGTTTAAAGCCACTCACTAGGGTGCCAGACAGCGTGCGCTCAAGACAGTTCAGCCAACAGGGGAAGTTGACTGCACTGCCATCGGGCGCAAGCTGAAAGACCAACAGAGGGAGGGAGGAGAGGGCAAGAGAGGTCGCCATGAGGAGGAGGAGACAGCTGCAGAGCAGATGTGGGGAGAGGTATAAGAGGCGGAGGAATAAGGGCGGGGTAGTCTGCTGCTGAGCCGCTGAGGGGAGAAACAAGAGGAGGAGGGAAAGTGGCGGAGTAGTCTGTTGTTGAGCCGATGCGGGGAGAAACTAGAGGAGGAGGGAAAATGGCGAAGTAGTCTGCTGCTGAGCCGATGAGGGGAGAAACCAGAGGAGGAGGGAAAATGGCGGAATAGTCTACTGCTGCGCCGATGAGGGGAGAAACCAGAGGAGGAGGGATAGCGGCGGAGAAGTCTGCTGTTGTGCCGCTAAAGGGATAAACAAGAGGAGGGGGAATTGTGAAGAGTTTGCAGTTGAGCAGTTGAGAGGAGGATGGTGAGGAGGAGGGAAGGTGGGGAGGAACAACAGCTACACAACACAATCAGCTACCAGCTGCAGCAGATGAAGGGAAAAAAGAGGTGGAGGAGGGGTGAGATACTGGAGAGGGAACTAGTGGGAGAGAGGAGAGGAGGAGGGTGAAGGGGACGGATTGTGGAAGAGAAGGAAGCGCCACAAGGAGCTGCGAGCCGCAGCAGATGGGGAGAGAAAATAGGAGGAGGAAGAGGTGAGGTAGTGGGCGGAAGCACAAAGGAGAGAGGGAAGGAGGAGGGTGGTGAGGGAAGGGGCGGATTGAGGAAGGGCAGGGAGCGCCGAAAGGAAGGGCAGGCGCGCGCGATGCCGGACGGTGCTTAGCGCGCGCGGCGGCGGGAGCGCAATGCGCGCGCGACGGGACGGAGGAAGGGGGAGGACGGCAGAGCGGGCTTTGGGCAAAATGGGCGCGCGACCGCCAGAAACGGGAGGAGGCGCGACAAATAGGAAGGCACGGGAGGGTGATAAGGGCGGTATGGCGACGCGCTACGGACTGGATTGGGGGATTTGCGAGAGTATAATGTGACAAAGAATGTGATTTTTAAGAGTGACAGGGAAGAAAGGAGATAAGAAACGTCTAGCTAAGTAGCGCGGAAATGGCCTAAGGGCCGGAGATTATCTAAGAAATACGGATAAATATGAAACGCCTAGGACTACGCTCTGAATACCATATTAAGATGAGAGGAGCCATGGATGGTGAGTGAGTTAGGTAGGGTCGAAAAAAGTTGCACTAGGAAGAAAGTGACGAGATACAAAAGAGAGAGGGTTGCAAACCCTAATTGAACCTAGGGTGTGTTGAACAAGGCGGCTCTCCAAGGTCGGTCAGCAGGTAGGTGAGCCTGCGAAGCTCCTGAGCAGCCATGGCCCCTGCGTAGATCTCAGCCTCACAACTGGAGCCAAGAACAGAAGACGAGCGAGTAGCCCGCCACGAAACAGAGCCGAAACCAAGGCTGAAGGTGTAACCCTGTGACGACCGCTGCGTAGCCTGGTCGTCAGCCCAAGAAGCGTCTGCGTGTCCAGTGAGGACCACTGGACTCCGCCCTCCAAGCACTAGCCCCATGCCCGACGTACTGCACAAGTAGCGCAACACCCTCTTCGCTGCAGCCATGTGCTCTGGTCGGTGTCTCCCAGGAGCAACATAGCGTGCAAGAATGCTAAGAGGGTATGCAAGGTCAGGTCGTGTGCAGTTCATCAGGTACATGAGACTGCCAACAAGCTCTGGGTACGGGCCACTCGACTCTACGGACTCATCCGAAGGCAGAGCTGAGAGCGAGTGGCGAGTAGACAGAGGAGTGGCCTGAGGCGAGGAGTACGTGAAGCCGAAGCGCTGAAGGACCTGCTGCACCATGTGTGACTGAGTCAGGGTAATGGTGCGGCGTGCTCTGTCCCGGGTGATCTGCAAGCCAAGGTAGCTGCGCAGTTCACCCAGGTCAGTGCACGTGTGTCTCTTGTGCAACTCGGACTTCACGTAGGCGAGTCCAGTAGTGTCACCTGTGGCAAAGACCAAGTCGTCGACGTACACGAGGATGTAGAGCGGGGGCAGAGAGGTGTCGGTGCGCAGAAACAGCGACGGGTCGGCAGTAGAAGGAGCGAACCCAAGAGCCACAAGCGTAGTCCTCAGTGTGTCGTGCCACTCACGTGGCGCCTGGCGAAGACCGTAGACTGGACGCCTGAGACTCCACTGGGTACCAGAAGGGAAAGACCCAGTGAAGCCAGGTGGGCGGCGCAGCCAGATCTCCTCGTGCAGGCTGCCCTGCAGGAAAGCTGTGCTGAAGTCGAGAGAGTGCAGCTCGTAGTCCCGGTGAGCAGCAACGTGCAGCAGTACCCGAAGAGTGGTCATCTTCGGGGTGGGGGAGAAGGTCTGAAAGTAGTCAACTCCCTGTCGCTGACTGAAGCCACGAGCCACGTAACGCGCCTTGAAGACAGGCGGAGAACCCGGCGGCCGCTTCACCCTGAAGATCCACATGCCACTGACGATGTTCGCCCCAGGAGGGGGGACAGCGTCAACGTAGGTGCCTGTGGACTTCCAGGAAGCCATCTCTGCATCCATAGCTGCCTGCCACTGAGAGGAGTAGGGACCCTCTATCGCCTCCGCGTAAGAGCGCGGAGTCGGGATATCAAGTGCATCCGGGTCTCCCTCAGGGGTAAGTAGTACGGACACGAGATGGGGTGAAGCAGCTGCCAGACACTGGAACTCCTCCTGCCTGTCCTCAAGGACGTCCGTGCCAAGGGCACACTCACCCCCGACGGACGGAGGACAGACAGACTTAGACTCAGCGACAAGACTAGCAGCGTAGTCTAAGCGACAGCGAGCAGCAAAGTCGACGAGCTCAGTAACGAGAGCAGACGCAGCAGTAGACTCGAAAGAAGGGTTAGTGACAACAGTAGCAAGGAGACGCGTGACAGTAGGACTGGCAGCACGAAGAGAGTCTGACTCAGGGTCGGCGAGAGCAGGAAGAGAGGACGCAGGAGGAGAAGGCAAAGGGGCACGCAGAGGAGCAGTAGACGGACGTAGAGACATCCGGTGCGTGCCAGGGGCAGGGGGAGGACGTTGGCGCGAACTACGAGCACTAGCGCTAGCAGGACGGACAGGCGACGCAGGACGAGACGCAGACTCACGACGCTCAATAAGACCGCTAGTAGGACCAGTGTAAGGAGAAGGAGCAGGTAGTGGGGAGGCCGGCTGCAACTGTAACTGTGACGGGACACGCTGTGAACACGCTAAGGGAGGAGGACCAGGAGGAGGCGAGAGACCAAGAACCTGCTGAAGGAGCGGAACGAAGTACGGCTGAGGGCGCGTGGCGACTCCAGACACAGCAGGGACAGCACCTGTACTCCCAGCGGCAGTACCAGAACCAGCAGCAGCTCCAACGCCCAGGTCCTCAGAACTAGCCTCAGCACCAACGCCCGAGTCCTCAGCACCAGCAGAGGCTCCAACACCAGGGTCCACAGCACCTGCCGCAGCTCCAACGCCCGAGTCCTCAGCACCAGCAGGGACTCCGACACCAGGGTCCACAGCACCAGTCGTAGCTCCAACGCCAGGGTCCGTAGCACCAGCCTCAGTCCCAACGCTCGGGTCCTCAGCACCAGCAGCACCTCCAACCCTCGGGTCCGCAGCACCAGTAGCAGCTCCAACGCCAGGGTCCGTAGCACCAGGGGCAGCCGGGTCCGTGAGACGAGGCGCACCACTCCGAAGTGTGCAACGGCGCTCGTACCACTCACGGATCCGCTCACGAGAGGGGAGCTCCCGACTAGGAGGAGAAGTACTAGCCCCAGTCCCTGTAGTGCGCCTGGTCCCAGAGGTAACACTCCGGAGGCTGCAGTACTGTAAGTACCACTCACGCAACTGCTCCGAGGAGAGGTCGCGTCCAGGTGTAGGACCCTCAGGCCCAGCACCGCAAGGCTCAGCACCCCCAGTCACCGCACCCCCAGGCTCAGCACCCCTAGGCTCAGTACCCCCAGTGTCCGCACCCCCAGGCTCAGCACCCCCAGGCTCAGTACCCCCAGTGTCCGCACCCCCAGGCTCAGCACCCCCAGAGTCCGCACCCCCAGGCTCAGCACCCCCAGAGTCAGCACCCCCAGGCTCAGCACCCCCAGTCTCCGCACCCCCAGGCTCAGCACCCCCAGCAGGACGAGAGTCGACAGCAACCTCAACAGGCTCGAGCGGGTCTACCTGAGACACACCTGAGGGAGCGGCACCCTGAGGGGGGAGGGGGTCTACGACAGCAGCACCTGGCGCGAGGAAGAGAGGCGGGGGTGGGAGCGGGGCAGTGCGGTAGGGAAAGAGGCGGTAGTAGGGGACAGACTCGTCAAAAGTGAGGTCCTGAGAGGGCAAGACCCGGCGCGAGGTGGCGTGGTAAAACTGCCAACCAGGCGCGTCCGGAACAAAGCCGAGGAAGACGCAGGGAACAGCACGAGAGGAGAGCTTGTCCGCAGACGAATCGCGGACAAAAGCTCGAGATCCCCAGACCCGGAAACGTGACGCATCGCCAACCTCCCCCGTCCACAGCAGTGTGGGCGAGGTCTCCGGCAAGGAGACACGGGGCCAGAGGTTGAGCTGATGCGCAACGTACCGGACCGCAAACGGCCATAGAAAGTGGGGGGCAGCCGCATGGAACAAGGAGGTACGAGCGACCTCCATGACCAGGCCAATGCGGCGCTCTGCAACCCCATTCTGCTGTGGAGAGGCCGGAAGCGTGAACGACTGCTCAATGCCGTGCTCAGCACAGTAGGCTGCCAAGAGGTCGGAGGAGAACTCACCACCTCTGTCAGAGTGCAAGCGCAGGACAAGAAAGTCCGAGCGGAAACGCTCGCTGAGCTGGAGACGAGCTCTGCGGATCCAAGGGATCAAAACATCGGGGACCTCACCCTTGGCTCGCAAGGGGAAGACCGTGGTGTAGCGCGAGTAGTCGTCAACAACGATCAGGAAGTACCTCTCCTGACCCTGACCACGGACGCGGGCTGGGCCCCACACGTCCATGTGGAGCGTCTGCAAAGGAGCAGTCGTCGGGGGAAACGAGGAGGAGTGAGGAGCGGCGCGCTGCCGCCCCTCGACACAGGGAAGACAGGGAGGAGCAGGCGAGGGTGGGAGGGGAGGGAGGACCCTGGGAAGACCAGAGAAAAGGTACCGGGAGTGCATGGCCCGAAGGCGCTGCACAGACGGGTGGCCCAGTCGGTGGTGCCAGAGGACAGTCTCGTGCGCTAGAGAGCGACACGAGCAGGGGGCGGACAGCTGACCTGCCGCGGACGCAGACGCAGACGCAGCGACCTGAGGGGGGGCAGTAGTCAGTGTGTACAGATCCGACCCTGGCTGCCGGGAGAAGGTAGCCAAGTGGCGGCCTGTACGGGCACACGTGCAGTGTGTGACACGCTCGTAGGCAGGGGTGAACTGGTGAACACCCGCGTCCTGTAGTGCACAACCTGCCACCAAGTTCGTAGAGAACGAGGGGAGGTGGAGACCTGACAGTGTGCCCGACGGGACCGCAGGACAGGGAAGGACAGTGGAGGAGGTCGCAAGGACCGGACCCCCAGAGGGGTCAGCGAGGGAGATAGCAACTGGCCGAGCAAGGGGCTCAAGGGCAGTGCGGTCACGAAAGAAACAGCGAGAGGCACCTGAATCCAGTATGAAGGTGTGCACTGCTGCAGTCGACACAGTACTAGGGGGGGCAGACGTACACGCACCTAGAGCAGCAGCCTCACCAGCACCTGGGGTAGCCGACACGCGAGTACCTGGAGCGGCAGACGCACTAGTCCTAATGCCCGGGTCGGGCGGGACACTCAGGTACTCAGCACCCTCTCCACTAGTAGACATCACATACATGGCAGTGAGAATAGCATCAAAGTCTAGAGCATAAATATCAATCCCCTTCTTCAGGAGATCAACCCAGCGGGGCAGCTCAGAGGCCTGAGGGAACTGAACACGCCAAGCGTCGTTCAGACGAGCGAAGCAACGCTGTGTGGCGTGCGGTCCCCCACACGGCTGGCCAGTGCGGTCACCAGTGCGAATGACATACGTGCAGCTAAGGCCACCCCCCCCCCCGTGCTGAGAGTACCACTCACGGACCTCCTGGGGCGACGGAGTGTGCTGCTGGCCCTGGTCACTGCCAGCGCCTCCACGACCACCACCGCCGCTACCACCTCCTTGACCACCCCAACCCCGGCCGCCGCCTCG